TTACGGTTGTATTCCTTTGCTACAATCAATGAATGCTCTTTGACACCGTCACTGTCTGCAATCTTTCCTTCGCATCTTAGTTGATTGTTGATTACTTGGTCGAAACTTAAAACGTGGACTTGTCTATCAGTATTCAAAGCCTGGAATTTGTCCGAACGTTGTTCAATCTGTGAACTATCGAATATGGGTTGTTGTTATTTCGCCATCGATCTTCCCCGCTTACGTTCGTATGTTGAACTGGTACTACCTGACGTCAGGTTGATAACTAAACACCTTTCGATGTCTCAGATTTTTCTGTTCGAAACAACTTTCCTATCCTCAAATGTTTGGACGAGTTCCCCATCTGCGATGATTCTCTTTTATCTTCTACTGGCTCGCCTCATCGCACGCTCGCTGCCAACTCACAAAACCGACATCACACGTCGAGCAGAAAAAAAAATGGACGACTGGGAAACAACACGATACTGTTCCAGTACTTTATTCTTCCACTCGCGGCTTACACAGCCGGCACATGAACTTGACAACTGTCCAGGCACACATTATAATGCAAGAATCAATTATTACCTTCAAGCAGAAATCCCAATCGATTTACACTAACATCGTAAACGAAACACAACAGCTGTCCTGACAGATACACTCAGACGACCGGCAGACATGTTACTGGCCAGCTTTCTTCGCCAAGTTGGACTGGAACAAATTCACTCAAAAACATCTGCTGAATTCATTCACACATCATCCACCGCTGTCCATGCACACTGTTCCTGGGTCCAAAACGAGACTGCCCACAAACCTTTTCCTCGCTATTATATAGCCCTCTGATCTCTGATTCTAGAATATTCTGGATTCATTCTCACGAATTTCCCACTGTTGAAAGTTGTGTCTGGCCCGTGATAATTCACATTTCACACAAATCCTGTGAACAATCATGTTTCACATAAAACCTGACTTTCAGTCTCTCATGAAACTCAAGACATAAATCTCGTGTTATCTCAGCCAGTCAAAACATTCGTCTTACATCTATTACTTCGCCAATTACAGTTGGCTGATAAACCGTCTCATTCGGTTGAGCTGAGTCAAGAATTGACATCCCAGCACTCGGGGCATTCCCATGCATGCTCCGTCCTCATCTTCAGCAGCCAGCACAGAGTTCCAATGCTGATGGTACCGGTCACAATCTGGTTATATGTTCGTTTTGTCTTCCCTCTGAGTCTAGTGAGCCGGCCAGACCCTCTGGTTACACCCAGGTGCCTCAATCTCTCCAGGCCATCATAATCTTATTTCTCTACTGATTCCATTGCCTGTTCCCAAATTACCTTGACCACATCGAATATTAAAATGAGAAAGAAGCATACACCCATCGTAAGCAGTAGTAAATTAATTATGTCGAGCTGTTAACCCATCTTAATCGGCTGTACACAACATTTCAACTCCACTGCAATGTAAAGTATTTTAAAATTACTTGACAGTCATCATCCTTCATTGTTTATGATTATAATTACTATATGTACCCTTTTAAACAAGGGACATTTCAAACAGAAGGCATAATAACAGACAACGCAGCCTATTTTAAGGATGTCTGAGCTTTTATGTAAGTGTTGGGTCGGTAAAGCAGCCAACATAAATGACAATGCGACGATATTTAGATGTAAGCATTGTTTGAAAGACGCCAGATAAAAATATCATCAGCAACACTTGCAGCAATGACAAACCCAAATGTATTTTTAGAACCATGATAAAAACACTTTCGCTTTGTCAAACACAGAAAGATTACAGGGATCGTAGAAATATGTGCTTAATGGCAAATAATCTACTGATCAAACCACAAGTAAGTTTCTATTTACCAGATATTGCGATAACAGGATTATAAAGCTTGTGTTTTCCGGCTGGAAACAGGACAATGCTCCCCGTTAACACAAAAATCTTATGTGAACGAAAGAATGAACGAATAAACGAACTTTACTCTCAAAGCGTTAAAATTGTACAGGTCTGACATCCTGCCCTTCTGAACTCACTTCTTTCATACATCATTTCATTCATTAAGATTTTAAGAAATCAGTTAAGCATTAATTACAAACGTTAGAATGTGTTGGAATTATTCCTACCTTTATAAACAACAACAAAATCGCTGTAGCTGTAATAAATCTAATGAAATATAGGATGTGCTTAAAATAGTATTATCTTTTAATGGGGTACGGAATCTGTAAAGTAAAAGACCCTACCCACGACAGAGGTGTATTTGGCATTTGATAGGAGACTCATATTTATATAGGCCTCGACGTGTGGTGCCATCAACATCACGACTGTATGTTATCTGTATTGAAATAATATTCAAAGTTTCCATGTGTATTTATTGAGTGAGATTAGTGGTACTGCTGACTTAGTGGAAGACAGCTCCACAGCTGAGCTGCACAGCTTGTTTCGTAGAGGTCTATCTTAGGTAATATGTTTAAGGTCGGCATCTGTGGCTTGGGCGTTGTGAACGCAATTCGTAATGCCGGGGTGTCAGGCTCGATCCTAGCTGCAAAGCGATTCTGCAGCAGATCGCCTTGCGTTGGGTTTAACAGTGGTATCGAGAGCTGACCGTTTAGAAGCAATGACAAAATACTGAATGTAAATTTGCCTAGAAAAACCACAACAGCAGAAAAATTCAAGGACTGGTTCTGCTACGTCATGTAAAGAATACAATGGCAATTAACTTTAAATATGTGTAAGCGTTTGCTATTTCTTCCCTAATATTTAACAACGCCCAAATGTGAGCCTTTAAAGAGGTACTCCATACAATTATTTTGTCATTGCTTTCTGAACAAATCGGTTTAGTTAAAGTCCAGAGGATCTTCTTCACGACATCGGGTTGTTTTCCATGTGGCTCGCACTCTCTCCACAGAACGGCTAGCTGTGTGACTCCGTAGCACTTACGACGATCCCTATGGATCTCTTTAAAAACTGCACTCGTGAAATGAATGGCGCAGCCGTGAAACGAAACCACGACTTTTAGATCGCGAGACATGCGGCTTCCCCACTTCGTCACGGAGGCAGAAGGGTTCTCGTACCGCTGTCAAGATGAACACAAAGCGGTTTGCTAAAAGGCCTACTGCAGCTGACTGCGAACCATGGTATGCAGGAAATGTGAACTTGTATTCACAATCGCCTATCAACGCAAGCACCGAACCCACTGAACCATAAATAATTTTGGCGGATTTAGTGTGCATAATTAATTGGCACGCATTACACACTTCGGAAACAATTCGATGGGGAACTGACTGCGGTCAGCATAATAAATCAGCTAACAGTTATTGATAGCCCATGGTTGTAAATGCAAGAAGCAGAGACAGCAGAACTCAACAGACATTAAACGTCTTCGATTTGCATAATGATAACTATAGCTTTCGGTTGTTTGTAATCTCGTGTGTCTTCATACCTCATCTTCTAACATGTCCATTTATTAAATCAGTTAAAGGCAGTTCCGGCTTTATGGTCAACTAGTCACCAGATAACTGCTCCGTTCTGCGCTAGCCACAGACTACACAGAATGCCAATCGACGCCTTTTGTTTCGTGTACATCTACGAGCGCCAAATAATAGGTGTAAATTTGTTTACAATGCAAACACAAACTACTCCCACTACAATATAACCTGCCAGGCGTGTTGTCTAGGGCGAATAAATGTTTCCATAAGACTGGCTACAGAATCACATACCAAAAAAATATCAGCCTCAAAGTCTTACGAATCACAAAGATGTCTTCAGAAAAGTTCAGAACAATTACAGTCAACAAGACAACAGGTTGGGGGGGGGGGGGGGGGGGGGGAAGGAACACCACAGGTTGTAATTAAAGTGGTAGAAAAACAGTAAGGGATAGTATATCATAGCTTGGTATAATGTGGATTGCGCGGTAATGAACGGAAACGAACACTTAAAAAACTGGGCGAGGCAGCCGAAAGGGCCTCGAGTTGGCTTTGGACGCAACGGAACAACGTAGGGGACGGGCCTCGGTGAGCTGGTCCGGGTGTCTTGCGGAAAAGGGTTTCTCACCCCTTGAAAGTCCATCGTGTCCGAATTGTCTGCCAGTGTTCCTCTGCCACCTGCTAACAAAAGTCCAACATGTGTCCGGTATACCAATCGTAAGCTCGTCGCTCGGTCGTCCAGGTACGCTGACTGTTCTAATTAGGCTGCCGCGACGACTTCTTATCTCACAGTACCTTCTGCAAATCACCAAGTCGTCTTGTCCCTATCCGAAAGGAAAACACCATCCGGTAATTTCGTGCAGCAGGGTACCAGCCCAGAGCTTCATGGACTCAGGTGGGCCCACCTCCGAAAGTGTCTAGGAGAAATCGTGGGCCCAAACACTTGTCGACGAGGATAACTTCTACTGATGACTGGTAGATCCCTGCTGTACTTGCTCCCTGTGAGTTTATTCTTATTGGTTAAAGATAAATAGCTCTTTGTAACATTTAACACCCTGTGATGGTAAAGTATAGAAGAGCTTGTCATTAAGCGGTTATCGATAAACATCCAAATGTAAGATAAATATATAGTTTGAGTTATTTATTTTTAACCAGGTAATGCCACTGTAAGACAAGCAACACGTGACAGAAAAGTATAACAGAATCTGGCATTATTTAGTGGTATTTCTTTCGGCCATGTTATGAGAAGAGGGAAAATAGAACATGTTGTGACCACTGCAAAGATCTGTGGAAGGGGGGATAGAGGAAGACAACGAGAGAAGATGCTTGACAATCCTGTTGCATGACATGGAGGTGTGTCGGCACACAAAATGATACATGCTGCAAAAGATCGCAGATTGTGGAGAGGCATGATCGCCCACGCCAGTCGGCAGGACACCTGATGTTGATTTCTTTCGAAATTGAAGTTCAGAAGTCTGCATTTAAAAAAAATAGATCTGTAACAGTGATGCGCACGTAACACTCAAGTTATGGAACAACCGATGCGTGTTGATATCCTTACGCTTTCAGCTCGCTCTACTTTTGTCTCTGTCTTCACAGAGAAGCAACAAAGGGCCCCGCTACCGCTTATGTCCCTACGAGACTTTCTCCCTAAAGATATATCACGATATTATCGATACAACGGCTCGCTAACTACACCTGGCTGTTTTGAAAGTGTCATCTGGACAGTGTTCGACACAAAGCAGACTATTTCTCATAAACAGGTGAGTTTGATGGTTATCTCATAAAAAGGTTGGAAATAGGTTACCTCGTAAACAGTTGGATCAAAATGTGTTGTAACAAACATATGGATCTTATACGGTCTCATAAACAAATGGCATATATTTCATCTGACCTCAATACTGATGGCAACTACATACATCTTCAATGCTGAGACTACTGCGGTTAGCTTCCTTCGAAGTCGGAGTGCATCTGCTAGAGAGGCAAGGAACCAGTAGTCTGCACTAAAATAAGTCAGATGTGTAAAACGGATGCATACTCAACACTCAGGTTCTGGAACAGGACTGCAGTCCAAAAGTGGACGAACAACCAGAACTGTCCGCCAGAGTTTACAGCTGATAAACGCGAAGAAGAAGAAGATTACTGTCTCGATGAAGTTGCAGAAACGGCCAGTTAGGCTTTTTTTTTAAAATTCATATTACATTCCAAATTATTTTCACACACTAGGAATACGAGGCAATGAATAGCGGTGCTCAGCAATTGAATAAAAAGACACTGAAATACTGTTAACATGTTTTAACAAGGAGCGAGAGAGAGAGAGAGAGAGAGAGAGAGAGAGAGAGAGAGAGAGAGAGACAGAGACAGACAGACAGACAGACAGACAGACAGACAGACAGACAGACAGACAGACAGACAGACAGACAGACAGACAGACAGACAGACAGACAGACAGACAGACAGAGGGAGAGAGAGAGAGATGGAGAGAGGTGGAGGGGCATAAACAAAGAAATCATTACAGTTTTGGTCAAGAAATGAAAACACACAGACAGAAGAACTTAAGATGCACTTACAGACCGCAGTGGTGTTCAGCTGATAATAAGTTTCCTAAAAAAATGACACCGCACCAGCGTGCGAATAGAGAATATTGCAAGTGATTTAAAGAACAAAGAAGTTTAATTCCCCCTCCCCCTTTTTCCGTCGCCTAACGGCTTAAAAAATGTTAGTGCTAAATGTATTTTTTTCCATACTTACAGCTGAAAGAATTCACAACCGTTCTACAGTTTCAACATAAGGAAAAGGGAGATCACTCAAGACATCGTCGATCTTTGACAAAAGAAGAGAGGGTCAAAGAACGACGCGCCAAAGGCGTTCTGGATGAGCTGGGCATTAGGGTATTAGTTGTTCTTAGTTCGTGGCGACTGTTATGTTGCCAGTCTGTCTCCCTTGTTGATGTCATGTCATACATGTGAGAAATACTGAATATAACACAAATGGTGACTAGAAACTCAACGAAGGGAATGGGAAAGACTTGCATAGTTAAAACCGCAAGTTTTTATCATAGGAGTTTAATACTCCGCAGATACAACAAAAATCTGTAGTAAGAACATGGAACCAGTAAGACAACGGAGCATTTTAAAAAAAAGCCAATATTAATATGAAAACAGAAATTGCGTAGTAGGGATAAATATCAACATGGACCATACTACAATTTAAAAAAGAAATAATAACAATTAGGAACACAGGGGCAGAAATGTAAACAAACTCAATACAAATCAAATTAAGGTATGTTGAATACTGACCCCGTAGGACTTAAAATGCCGAAACTATGAATTAAGCAATGTTCAGAGGAGAGGCGACGGGACTGATAACTGGAACAAGATTTGATGGAAGTAACTGGAATGCTGATTTCGCTTTAGTGGTCAGGGACACGGGTTTAAATCCGCATTGTGAATATCCTTAAGGTAATCGCGGAAATCGATCTGTTAACTTTCTACCGGTTTCCTAAACATATGCCGTTGCATATTTTGCAAACTAGGGCATTGATAACGTCAGGACTTTCACAAGTAAATGCTTCCCAAATTCAAAATAAAACAAGCAGAAAACGGACTTAAGCGAGTTGGATCACACAGGGGCATTTATATTTTATATCTAGTATATGAGCATTTTGAATTAAAGATAGTATTTCACTGTCAACGGATTTTTAGTTATGCATACATTCTGTCAATATAGAGTTTGCTTTCTATATTCCCCTATGTCCTCATATTTATTATCTAACTATCGCTAACATGGTCTATTTGTATTTCAGGGTAATGTGTTTGAAGAAACACTTCTGCAGACAGAACTCATGCAGAACATGATGATGGGCGACCAGGCTCACGAAAAACCGGTTGAGTAAGTAACAATCAACAAGAGATAAATGTTCTGCAGGGGAAAAGGGGGAGGGGTACCTCATCAATAAGAAAACTAGTGAATGGGTAAATCTGAGTGAGTGAGGGAGTGAGTCAGTGAGTCAGTGAGTCAATGAGTGAGTGACGTTAAAATTATCATGATTAAAATTGTGTTCTGTAACATACGGGGTGGTGGGGTAGGGATCCTAGTTTGCTATACATTATGACGTCAGCTGAATGCACTTCACATTTATCAAATTTTTTTTTAAAGCGTTTATTGCCACAGACAGTTCCTCTTCTTCTTCTACAGCATTCCTAGCCCTTGAGGTTCATTGCTGCAGATATCACCCGCCTTCATTCATCTCCCTGGCTGGCCTTCTCTTTCTGGGTTAGTAACACCAAGTGTTTGCAGGTCTGTCTGGACATTATCTCTCCATCGTCTTCTTTGTCTCCCTCGTGGTCTAATTCCCCAACCATTGCAGTCTATTAACTATCACGATGCCAGTGATTAATTGTGATTTAAAGAGAATATGAATTTCGTTGTTGCTTCTTACTCTCCATTCACCGCTGTTTGTATCTTTGACGGGTCCAAAGATTCGTCATCAGACTCTGTTTTCGAAAACCTGTAATAAAGGCTTCATCTCTTTTAGTTGTGCTCCAAGTTTCATAGCCATATAAAACGGCTGGTCTTATCAAAGTTTTATATATTTTGATCTTGGTGTTGCGAGACAGACTCTTTGTCTTTAGCAGAAGGGCATAGTATACTTTATTTCCATACTGTATTCTAGATTGTATTTCTTCTCTCAGCATGTTGGAGCAGTTGAGGTTTGCACCCAGGTACTTATACGTTTCCGTTCGTTTGATTTTCATATTATCGACTTGTATGTGACCGGAGTTTATATCCGTTTCCTGTCTAGTTATTATCATGTATTCTGTCTTATCTTGATTGAAAACTAGTCTCATTTTGATTCTTTTAAGACAGTCAGTGTTTTAACAGTCTCTAGTTCATTTTCTCCAACGATACCAATGTCATCAGCAAATCCAAGTATTCTTGTAGTTTCTCCTATAGTACAATCTTGTTTCAATTTCCTTATAATTTTTCTCCAGGGCCAAGTTGAAAAGAAGTGGGGACAGAGCATCGCCTTGCTTTAAACCAGATGTTATTTGAAAAGTGTCTGACCCTCTGCCTTTATATATTATTATATTACGAGTGTCTTCCATGCATAGTTTGGTCATGCTAATTAACTTTTTTAGTATTCCAAAGTCCTTCATAGCATTCTATAAGCTGTTTCTATGCACACTATAATACGGGTTTTTTAAATCCACAGAAACATTATGTACATCTTTTCTATATTCCAAATTTGTTTCTGCTATTTGCCGTAAAATGAATATATTATCTATTGTTGGTATGTTCTGTCGGAAACCCGCTTGGTAATCTCCCAATATGTCTTCGACGTATGGTTTAAGCCGGTTTAGCAGTACCGCCGATAGAATCTTAGAGCTTGTAGATAATAGTGATATTCCTCTATAACTTTCACACTTATACTTGTCTCTTTTCTCAAAAATGGGTATTAATAAAGACACTTTCCATTCATGGGGTAGTTTCTCCGTCTTCCAAAATAGTTTTATTATTTCATATATCTTTACATGTAATGCATGACCACCTTCTTTTAAAAGTTCAGCTGTAATTCCATCAGCACCAGTTGCTTTATTGTTTTTAAGCCATGTTATGACATACAGTACTTCTTCAAAATCAGACAGTTGCATGTGCTAATTACTCTTCCCCCCCCCCCCCCCCCCCCTCTTCATCTTCTTTTCTTTTCCAAATAGGATTATGTCTATAAATCATACTAGTTGCTATTGTGCCACTTCAGTTCCTAATTTCTGTCTTTAGCAATTCTGTGAAACAAACACAGAAGTTAGACAAGGACTTGGCCGTCCTGACGGATGAGGCCATTGAGGACCAGTTACTAAATAACCACAAGACACAGGGTAGAGCTGGCAGTCACAGGCCCAAAGAAGTTGACGTGGTAAGTGTAACAAGACAGATGGTGGTTGAGTGTTAAGAAGTGTAAATTAAGTGAAAGTCGAAATAATCGACCGTATTACAGCAGATCTGATCTAATTTGGTTCGGTGTTTCTCCTCAAAACGACTAGTCGTCTGCTGAGAATGTCGCACAAAACACACGAACTTCGTAGTTCAAGCAACGATACCAAGGAATCTCTATATTTAACCAAAAATGCACTCGTGAATGAACGATGCTGTCCGTGAATCGAATCCACCACCTCCAAAGCGAAAGGCAAACGGTTAGACCATTTCGCCAGTGACCCCCGATTGTACACCAATGCTGGTTAAACTAAACCCACAATGGAAGCAGCAGATAAGTTGAGAATAGTCTGACCTTTACATATACCAGGCTAACGAGCTTAGGTGATCAGTTTATTTTCTCGCCTGTAGCAGGTAAAGGTAAACCCAGGGCGGAAACATCAACAGTGAACTCTTAGCCCTTCATATAGACAAGAAAAACATTATAGCAGAAGGCATGGTACCAGGAAGGAGGGGCAGGAGCCTACCGACACGAAGATGGGCACAGGATATAAGTGACTCCTTGAGTATGAAAATACATGAGGCAGGAGAACTGGCGAGATACCGAGTTTCTTTCAGGAAGACTGTGATGAGAGCGACGTTCTACAAAAAGACCTGCTACATGAAGATGATGATAGGAGCATATGGAATTACAGATAGTATAGATAGTATAGTACCTCGGCCGGTGTTCGAAACCGGGCGGTTCCCGAGGTTCACCCAGCCTCTATGAAATGGGTAGCAGAGTTAACACTGTGGGGTAAATGGTGGAACGTCGCTGTAGCTACGGTGTTGCGTGCGGACTGCGACTCAAGCGGACAGTTTATTATCAGCTGTCCGTACTGGTGGCAGAGCACTTATGGTTTATAACCGTGTACAATGACGCTGGTTCACATATCCCGACTTTGCCTTTTTTTTTAAACAGATAGTATTTCACTGACAACCTTTTCACGCCTTGCCCAACGGAAATTACGCATATATTCTGTCAATATAGAATTTGCATACAATATTCATATATATATATATATATATATATATATATAAAACACATACGCGTTCCAGATAATAAAAACATGCTCAAAAATGCCATCGCAATAGACTTACTTGACACAAACTATAGCTGTGATGAGTAATTTTCATTTCCGACGCAGGGTCTTTTGTAAGTGAAGCTACACGATTTATTACAAAATACTCGTATTAGTGGTGGTGGAGACAGAGTACGCATGTGAATGGGAAATTGTGATAGAAAAACAGTGACAGGGGAGAGCTAGGGGAAAAGGAAGGGAGGGGGTGGCGTTTGGCAGTTTGACTTCATCAAATAGAGGAAAATACGAAACAGAAATAACTTATAGTTCACGATATAGAAGCCTCTGGGTAGACCAGGTGACCAACGCCACAAAGGTTGACTACTTCATTACTTCAGTGAATATGTGTTTTCCGATGGTCTTTTGTGACCGCTGTGAAAGCGTCGTTCGACCCCCAAAAGGATCGCGACCCACAGGTTGAGAACCGCTAAATTACAAAAGGCGCTCATAAACTACTTTCTTCTTCCATCTTCTCTCTCAAGATGGTGAAAATATGGGAGTGGCTGCAGTCAACTAATACAATGAATTCCAGAAAAATGTGACTAAAAAGCTCAACAAAATGGGCTGTTTGACAAAGGCTGCCCGACCGAAACGTTACGTTATTTGTGTTGTTTTGTGCACGTTTTTCTGCTTTCCCATTTTGTTGACCTTTTTAGTCAAATTTCTCTGGAATTCCTTGTCTCTCAAGTCATGTTCTGCCCTTCAGCGTCAGGCTTTGAAGAGGTGTCTGGTGCCGCCCTAGAGTGTTTTAGATAGATGCTGGTATTCAGGGCCTGGAGTATTCAATAGGTCATAATTATCCACAATAATTAATTCTAAGTGTTATTGTGTTACTGCTAAATTACGACGTCATTTGTCTACTCTGATACAGGTAGAGGTGGTTAAAGATACCTACATTCAAGAAACAATTGTCAACAACTTCCGCCCGGTCCAGCCACTCAATGATCGTATTGTGTACAGGAGCTTCAAGCACGTGTGTGTCGTCGCCCCACCAGATGTTCCTGCAAAATGGTCTCCTCCATCTGAAGCCAGTAAGGACAATTGGCAGGGTGACAAAAACAGCTGTGCCAGATTCCAAAGCCTGCCAATAGTCGTCATCTCACTTGTACTTACGATCCGATGGCTCCACGTGTAAAGTTGAGCCAAGTTATAACACACAACTTTGACTGTAAATTACATCTTCTTTGTCCTAACCAACGTACTGTGTGTGATGTACTTATGGGAATGTGTATCGATTTGTATAAGTCTTACTTTTAGTCAATGCAAGCTAAATATATCTTAAAATGTAAGTTATTTTTTTTTTTTTTTTTTTCTCTCTCTCTTAAAGTCAGACGCGAATATTTGGAGCTTTCCTGCCTTTGGCAAAATTCAACATCCTAACTTGCACAGTCCATAGTGTCAGCACTAGCCAAAAGGCCCTAAATCAGGCTCACTGACCTCAGCTGCGCCACCATCCCGTATACACCGCCCTGAAAAGTAGTAAATACAGTTATGGTGTAATGGCGGTCCAGGTTCCACTTTTTCCTAACCAGTATGGTTTTGAGCTTAACGTTTAAAAAATGTCATCTCCAAGGACAACACAAACCAACCCTAGCATGTATTATCTGTTTATAGTTTTACTACACAAGTTTACATTCAGTAGACTGCAACTCACACTGTTGCCCACATCAACCTAAAGCAGACCGCTGCCAAATGGAATTTAGCTGATTTCGAGGAGTCGACGCAGTCTCATCAAAACTGCAGACAATTTTTAGGATTTTTGGAACAGCCTGAAAAAAGCAATGCTAAGATGACGGGCTTTAATCATCCATCCCACCTTGTATGTCGTAGATAAGACCAGGAGAAGGCATAACACTCCCCCCCCCCCCTTGACAGCAGTAACTACTATGGGATTACCATCACTTATTAATCACTAACAAAAAACATCTGCCACTTGCTCTCCATCAAGAACATTTTTGGTTGGAACCGCATAGGCTGGTTGTACACTGTACATTCACCTAATGTGAGAACCTTTCTTTTGATATTCGTTTTTTTTTTTTTTTAAATAAATTTAATGAATGGTGTAACGGTCCATTTTTCTCACTGTCGATACAACTACTAAACATAAATTACTGCGAGATCCGGGTGGAAACAAGACTGAGTTCTTCATTCGCTCGAAGTTTAAATAATCTATTTTTCTTCTCGTCCAGTCAAAAAGGTTTACTAACGATTTCACGCTTTTCTCATTTGGCCACACTTCAGCCAAACTACACGTTTGCCTCGGGTTGGTGTCACTCGATTTGTTTACGCATAATTACAATTAGTATTCGATGCCATCCATCCGGATTCTCGCATATAGTTTATGTTTAGCAGTTGTCCTTTTTTTTTTTAATCATGGTAAAATGGCCCGTTACACAGGGAATGTAACCAAAACGTATTTAAAATGCGTTAAACCAGTGGGTTTTTCTTTCCCAGTCCTCAATTTCTTCAAACCTGTGGCTGCCTAATAAAAGACAATATTACTCTAGTTTTATTGCTCAAGCTCTATACATTCGCATCCAAATAGAACAGTTAGGTACGGTATAATCATAGCCGTTAGGAGTGTCATAACTGTAATATCACAAAAGGTTGGACAGGGTGTGTGGAATGTAAGTAGTTTGCCCACTCCAGAATTGCAACCTTCAGGATTAACACCTCAAGTATGAGAATCGAGCAGGCATAAATCTCAGAAGTTTCGTTCAACAGTGAGTCATACTGGGGTCCCAGCCGGTTACATAGTAATATGAAGTCCAGATTAGACAGGAAATTCATTCCTTGACTGGAATTAACTGTGTTCGCTCGGCACTGTCCACTTCTCAGTTAGCAGCCGGGAAACAAACGGGACGGGGACAAGGGGGTCTACCTGCCTCTATCCCCGCGAATACCCAGATCCTTCTTGGTTATCTATATCTTTGTATTTCTTAACCTATATTTTCATAGCAGGTTATGTTGCTTTAAAGATATTTTTTAAGCGATAGCATCAATTTAATTGCACCGGTTTTATGCCGTATGGCTGATGTTCTTTTTGCACGGCGGCTGATTGTGAGCGAGTGCTTCGCCCAAAAAACGAACCTTGCAACTCCAGCGACGACCTCTAAAAATCTTTGAAATACTTGTGCCCTTGAACCGAATCTACAATCTTTAGATGGTGAAGAAAAGGTCTTCATCCCCCCCCCCCCCCCCCCCCCCCCCCACAAAGAAGTCTCCAAATTTACTGCTCTTTTCGCAGTCCATTTAACTACCATACAATTTCATAATCATAGTTTATAGTTACACTGTCTGTCAATATGTGTTCAATTTTATGTTTGTTTCTTAAACATATTTATTTATATACCTGACTATGTATAATAATTTATAATCGTTTACATGCTTAACTTTCGGAGTACTGTTGCTAAAGAAGAATACGGAGTGCTGTATTTCTGCGGCCTCGAGGCCCCCCCCCCCCCCCCCCAATTCTTTCCCGAGTATTTATTTAGGCCTTAACTAGCACGCTAAATGAATCTTTTCACGAGGTGTAATGTGGTCAACTCTTACTTTAAAGGACTTTTTCCGGTACTCATGTTATGGTGTGTCGACCTGGCGGCATAGGTCACTTATAAAACTGATACCCGTGTGGGTACCCGGGCCCCATTGTGGGGGGGGGGGGAAGAACAGACCCACTGTCTCCCAAACAGGCATGTCGTAAGAGTCGACTAACTGGGGGTCTTCTTCGAAGTCGGAGTGCATCGGCAAGGAACCAACAGTCGGTATACAAATAAGTTAGATCTGTAAAACGGACGTGCACGCAACACTGGGTTTCTGGAACAAGTCTAAAGACCAGAGGTTGGGAAACAACTAGAACTTTCCGCCCGAGTTTACAGCCGTTGAACGCGAGAAAGGAGAAGCTAAAATTCTCGCTGGATGCAGATTTGAACCCCAGAATTTCGGCCAGGCAATCAGTCTAACAAGCGCCCCACTGCGGGTCAAAGTATGCCAGCACGGTCCTAATATATTAGTGTACTTTAGGCAGCGAAAAAAATCGGGCCGACTGTGCTGTAATCGTCTTTTTCAGATCAGATGTTTTATTTGCAACAGACAAGGACTACCACTGACTATTTCAATTCTTCATTTCAAATTATATTGTAATGCAGTTAAAATTGTGTATACTATTACTTCATGCCGAGGTAATAAAATTTATATATGCATATTTTTTGCCTGCCCTGTTCAGCCTTTTCGCTGTAAGGAGCGTCTCCTTACTTGTTGAGATATTGCATTATATTTGCAGCGTAAAGTTTATACTGTGGAGACCATTTTAGGCGGCAAACATATAGCTTTCTGTACATTTGCACATGTATGTTCATGTGTATACAGTTTTGCTTAACTTTTGTAAGTAAAATTAATAAATCATATTTAAAAAACCTATGATCGTGACTCAATATGATTATGAAATACTAGTACTTGCGACTTACTGACAGCTTACCCAAAAAAAAAAATCTCTTTCTCTCATTCAATCTCTCCCTCTCCCCCTTTGCTTGCCTCTCTCTCTCTCTTTCTCTCTCTCTCTCTCTCTCTCTCTCTCTCTCTCTCTACCTCTTTATCTATCTATACATGAATCGGTCTATCTTCCTGTTATCTCTCTCTCCTCTCTCTCTCTCTCTCTCTCTCTCTCTCTCTCTCTCTCACACACACACACACACACATATGTAATGGACACTAATCTAACATATCAACGAAACTGTAATACGCAAACTCAAATATTCAGGATAAGAACATTTATTGGGGAGCAAAGGCGATGAAGAAGGTAAATGGTGACTGTACCTCAGTATGCCATGGCCCCAAATGTGTGAAGGTCAAACACCTCACGCCCCATCTGCAGTATGTGGTCGGGGACACCCCTGATTCAACATGAACAGCCTATACATACAAAAAAAGTCCATTTCGTTCCAAGGCATTGAAGACAATGAAAAGAAGTCAGAAACAAGATAAACACGTTTCCAATTCAACGCGGCCCACGATGAGCTTGGTCGAAAATTACTTAACGATGCCTTTAGCTTGTGCGAACCAAAGCAACAGACCATGCGTGATCTGCCATTCATCACATGAATCTGTCAAGATACCGTGTACAACTGTACGTATTTATTATGTAGAAAATCAGATTCCACAAAAGTTATCTCACGGAATAATTATTTTTAGTTGCCTGGCGACTGTAAAAATTCTATAATTGTGATTCTGTTGTTATAGTTATTTCAACAACAGTGTAGATAACTACCCCCCCCCCCACCCCCCCACCCCCACCCCAACGGCCATTACTACCTGTATTTACCACGTAAAGTGGGGGGGGGGGGGGTGGGTCGATATTTGAGCCGGAGGATTTAGGGTCGCATGGCTAGTGCAGTCGCCACGGACTGCAGGTTAGGATTTTCTGTTTTTCCCCGACAGAAGCAAAAAATCCATAACCTAACCGAGGATTCAAACCTGACTCTTACTTATGTCTTTTAATTACATAACCGCTCGTATGCGTATGTTTACAGCGGCAAACAATTTAAGCATTATATATGTGAGGAGGGGGGGGGGGTGGAAATAAAAAAAAATGGTGTACTGAAACCAATGTAGAATAAAAAAAAAAGCACTAGGGTTATTCAATATACTAAGACTAGATAAGCAAATAGATACAAATAAATTCATGATCTATCTCGCGAATAGTTGCGAATTCGGTTTGGTTTTTATGAGAACTTAGTGAACAGAAGCCATCACATAGTGACCCGGAATGACTACACTTCCTCAACAATAAACAAACTAAAAATTACTACACCTCCATGCCAACATAATTGATCAATTTTAGGAGTGTATGATGTGTCTTCTTCTTCTTGTTCTTCTACATCTTCTTCTTGTAGTCTCTGCCGTGTGGCGTCGGTAATCATGTTTATCCCCAGCCTTCTGTCGATCATTTTTGACACATCGTGTGTCTTGTGTCTTGCTGTGCCATTATATGTCACACAGGGCTCGCCGTCTATTCTGTGCAATCCCTTTGATATCATGAATGAAATCCAATCTAGCACCTTTGGTCTCTCTCACAAACGTTTGTTTTAGGGTTTCTTTTGGACGTCCTCGCTTCCTTTGTCTATTGATTATCCCATT